TCTCCTTTAGACCAGTAAATCTGGTCTTTTTTTTTGTGAGTTAGAATTATGCTCTACATCCTTCTCCAGCTCTGTCCAGAACCCTCTGTTGTGATTAATATTTTTATATAGTTAAAGTTTATGACACCTATATTCTATTCAGTAATCATAATTAAATTGTTTATATTTAGTTTAATTCTTAGAACTGGAGACCAATAAATACCAGTTATAATTAAAGTTTTTATTTTTAAAGGACCAAGTTAAATCCTTATACTCTTAGAAAAGGAAATGTAGCTCCCTGTGACTAACCTTTTCCCACAAGTTTGGGAATATGTCAAACATCAAAGTTAAATTGATCCGCTATATATATGTGTTTCATCATCAGTTGATAAAAATCAGACTGTATTTTAATTTGGGTCACATTTATATCCTGATAAACTATGCAGCTTTTTGGCTTTCCTGGACTTTCTGATTGTCTTTTTTTTTCTTGTTGAGAGAAAAGACATGTATTTCCATCATGTCTTCAAGAACTTCTAAGTTCTTAATCATTTAATTATATAACAAAATATTTTTTCTTGTTGAGAAAATTCCTTATGCAGCCCATAAGTCCAGTTCTAAATAGGAGAGGTGGCTTTCCAGACCCCTGCAAAGTGGTTAATCTGTGATTTCTTTTCCTAGTCTTCTTTGGTTATTCCCAATATTTCTTGAATCACACGGCTTTCTCTTTCTTGGATTCTATTTTTTTTTTAAGTAATTTTTTTAGAAAGGATGTCCTTACATGTTAAAACTATCTCAACTTTGACCTCACACTTGATTGATTTGTCCTTATACTTGACTGTTTAAAAATCTTGGTTCAAAATAATTTTTCTTTGAAAATTTGAAAGAAATTCAATTGTTTGCTGATACCTACTGTTGCTGATGAGAAATATGATGCAATCTGATACTTGTTCCTATAAAGGTTACCTTTTAATTTATTTTTGAAAGTAGAAAATTTTGTCTTTTGAACTTCTCTTTTTCCTTGGTGTCTTAGGCTGGGTTCTCTAGAGAAGCAAAACCAGTAAAGTGTATAAATATATATATAGAGAGATTTATATTAAGGAAACAGCTCACACGATTGTAGAGGCTAGAACGTCCCAAGTCCGTGGATCAGGGTAGAGGCCTCTCCCAAGTCACTCAGCCGCAGAAGCTGACAAGCCCAAGATCGGCAGGTTGGAGAGCAGGGCTCCCACTCAAAGGCTGTGCAGATCGATGAATCCCAGGTTTGGCAGATAAGCTGACAGCTCAAGTCCCAAGAACCAGGGATGAGACGACAGGAGGTAGCTGCAGGATCCAGAGAGAGCAAAAAGCCAGAATATCTGCTTATATTCAGATGTGTGCCACACCCCCAAGAAGACTCTTTCATCTGATTGGCTACT